TATATATATATATATATATATATATATACATACATACATATATATATTACTCAGCCATAAATAATAAGGAAATAATGCTACTTGCAGCAACATGGATGGACCTAGACATTATCATACTAAGTGAAGTCAGAAACAGAAAGACAAATATCATATGATATCACTTGCATGTGGAATCTAAAACGTGATACAAAGGAACTTATTTACAAACCAAAAACAGACTCACAGACTTAGAAAACAAACTTATGCTTACCAAAGAGTAAAGGAGGAAGGAAGGGATAAATTAGGAGTTTGGGATTAGCAGATACAAAGTACTATATATAAAATAGATAAGCAAAAAGGATTTAATGTATAGCACAGGGAACTATATTCAATATCTTGTAATAAACCATGATGCAAAAAAAAAGAACCAGTCAGAAAGGAAGAATACAATAACTGAAATTTTAAAGTACACTAGAAGGAATTAACAGTAGACTAGGTGATACAGAAGAATGCATATGTGATCTGGAAGATAGAATAATGGAAATCACCCAATTAGAACAGCAGAAGAAGAAACAAATTTTTAAAATGTGAGCAGTTTAAGATTCTTCCAGAACATCAAGCATACTAACATTCACATTATAGTGGTCCCAGACGGAGAAGAGAGAGAGAAAAGGCTTAAAAATATATTGGATGAAATTATAGCTGAAAACTTCCCAAACCTGAAGAAGAAAACAGATATCTAGGAACAGGAAGCACAGAGGGTCCCAAACAAGATTAACCCAAACACACCCACACCAAGATACATCATAATTAAAATGGCAAAAGTTAAAGAGAAAATTACAAAGGCAGAAAGAGAAAAACATATAGTCATAAAAAAGGGAACCCCCATAAGGCTATCAGCTTATTTTTCTGCAGCAACTTTGCAGGCCAGAAAGGAAGGGCATGGTATATTCAAAGTGCTGAAAGGGAAAAACCTGCAACTGAGGATACTCTACCTAGCAAGATTATCATTTAGAATTGAAGAAGAGATAAGAACTTCTCAGAGAAGCAAAAGCTAAGACTTCATCAATACTAAACCTACCTAATAATAAATGTTAAAGGGTCTTCTCTGAATGGGAAAGAAGTGGCTACAAGAAGTAAATATTTATAGGAAAGGAAAAACCCCACTAATAAAGGCAAATATAGAGTAAAGGCTGAGGATTATCCACTTAAATAAGCTAGTATGAAGATCAAAAGGCAAAAAAAAAATCATAAAATCATCTCTAACTACAATAAAAAGTGAAAGGATAAACATGAACATGAAAAATATGGCATTAAAAACACAAAACATGGGGGAGGGGGTTACAAAATTTACATCTTTTAGGTTGTGTTTGAACTTAAATGAGCACCAGTATAAAACTGTAGATACAGTAATAACTTAGCATATCTACAAGATATTCCACCCAAAAATAGCAGAATACACATTATTTTCAAGTGCACATGGAATGTTATCTAGTACAGACCATAGGCTAGGCCAGAAAACAACGGGTCAATAAAAAAACAAAGAGTAAATCAGAAAAAAACCTTGAGACAGATGAAATAAAAACACAAATTTCCATAATCTATAGGAGAAAAAAAAAATCTATGGGATTCAGTAAAAGCAGTTCTAAGAGGAAAGTTTATAGTGATATAGGCCTACCTCTATAAACAAGAAAAATCACAGATAAACAACCTACCTACAATCTAAACAAAGTAGAGGAAGAAACAAAGCCTAAAGTCAGTAGACAGAAGGAGAAAATAATGATCAGAATGAAAAAAATAGAGACCAAAAAAAAAAAAAAAAAAAGAAAAGAGAAAGAAAGAAAAGATCAAAAAACCAAGATCTGGTTTTCTGAAAAGATAACCAAAATTGATAAGCCTTTAGCCAAGCTGATTAATAAAAAAAGAAAGAGAAGAAATTACAACTGACATCATAGAAATAAAAACAATCATAAGAGACTACTACAAAGTTATATACCAACAAGTTGAACAACCTAGAAGAAATGGATAAATTCCTAGAAACATACAATCTTCCAAGACTAAATCAAGAAGAAATAGATAATCTAAACCAACTGATAGTAGCATTGAAATTGAATCAGTAAAAACAAACAAAAAATCTCCTAGCAAACAAAACCCAGAACTGGTTGGCTTCACAGGGTAAATCTACAAACATTTAAAACAGAGTTAATAACTATCCTTCTCAAGATATTATAGAAGAGCCAATATTCCCAATCTAATTCTATGTGGCCACCCATAACCTGATACTAAAATCTAAGACACTACAAAACAAAAAGAAAATTATAGGCTAATATCTCTGATGAATATAGATGCAAAAATCCTCAACAATATAATAGCAAACTGAATTCAATAGTACATAAAAATGTCATACACCATGATCAGCTGGTATCTATTCCAGAGAAATGCTAATCAAATCCACAATGAGATATCACCTCACATTTGTCAGAATGGCTATTGTCAAAAAGACAACAAATAATCAATGGTGGTGATGATGTGGAGAAAAGGGAACCCTTGTCCACTATTGGTGGGAATGAAAAATGGTATAGCCATTATGGAAAACAGTTGGAGCTTCCTCAAAAAATTAAAAATAGAACTACCATGTGATACAGCAATTCCACTCCTTAGTATGCATCTGAGTAAAATGAAAACACTAATTTGAAAAGATATGTATACCCCAATGTTTACAGCAACATTATTTACAATGGCTAAGAGAGGGAAACAACCTAAAATGTCCATCAACAGATGTATGAATAAAGAAGCTATGATACACACACACACACACACACACACACACACACACACACAATGGAATATTACTCAGCCATAAAAAAGAATGAATTTTTGCCATTTGCAACAAAATGAATGGACCTGGATGGTATTATTCTTAGTGAAGTCAGATAAAGACAAATAATGTATGTCTTCACTTATATGTGAAATCTGAAGAATTAAGACAAATAAATAAATATTACAAAACAGAAATACACTCAAAGATACAGTAGACAAACTTGTGGTCATCAGTGAGGTGGTAGAGGTAGAGACAAGATAGGGGAAGAGGATTAAAAGGTACAAACAACTAGGTATAAAATAAATAAGATAGAAGGATGCAATGTATAGCACACAGGTAATATAGCCAATATTTTATAACAAATTTAAATGGAGCATAATCTATAAAAATATCAAACCATTATGTTGTACACCTGTAACTAATATAATATTGAAAATCAACTATACATCAATATAGAATAAATAATTTCTTTGACAATTCAATATATTAAGCTAATAATTATTTTATGCTTATACTTTATTGCAGTTATTAATGCAGCAAACTATTAAAACATGTCACAATCTGGATGAATCTCAAATTCATTTTGCCAAGTGAAAGAAATCTGACTCAAAAGGCTATATACTATTTGATTCCACATATACAGTATTCTTTAAAAGGCAACAATGTGGGAAAGAAGAATAGAACAGTGACAAGGAGTTGGGGATTAGAGGGAAAGGTGTGACAAAAGGATACTATGAGGGAATTTCTGGGGAGTGATGGAACTGTTTTTTTTTTTTTTTGTGGAGGTGATTACACAACTATGCATTTATTGGTATACATAAAACTGTACACCAAAATATGTGGAATCTGCTGTATATAAGGTTTAAAATAAATATTTAAAAGTGAAAAAAATCTGACATTTCATTGTTAGTGTATAGGAATGCAAGAGATTTCTGAGTATTAATTTTGTGTTCTGCAAATTTACCAAATTCATTGATGAGCTCTAGTAGTTTCCTGGTAGCATCTTTAGGATTTTCTATATATAGTAACATGTCACCTGCAAAGAGTGACTGTTTTAATTCTTCTTTTCCAATTTGGATTCCTTTTATTACTTTTTCTACTCTGGCATAGCTAAGACTTCCAAAACTGTTTGAATAAAAGTGGTGGCAGTGGACATCCTTGTCTTGCTCCTGCTCTTAGAGGGAATGCATTCAGCATTTCACCATTGAGAATGATGTTAGTTATGGATTTGTCATGTATGTCCTTTATTATGTTGAGGTAAGTTCCCGCTATGCCCACTTTCTGGAGAGTTTTTTTTTTTTAAATCACAAATGGGTGGTGAATTTTATCCAAAGCTTTTTCTGCATCTATTGAGATGATCATGTGGTTTTTATTCTTCAGTTTGTTACTGTGGTGTATCACACTGATTGATTTGCATATATTGAAGAATCCTTGCATCCCTGGGATAAATCCCACTTGATCATGGTGTATGACGCTTTCAATGTGTTGTTGGATTGAGTTAGCTAGTATTTTGTTGAGCCCATTTACCATTGCATCAAAAAGAATAAAATACCTAGGAATAAACCTACCTAAGGAGAATAAATAGCTGTAGTCTGAAAACTATAAGATGCTGATGAAAGAAATCAAAGATGACAGAAACAGATGGAAAGACATACCATGTTCTTGGATTGGAAGAATCGATATTGTCAAAGTGACTATACTACCCAAGGTAATCTACAGATTCAATGCAATCCCTATCAAATTACCAATGCCATTTTTCATAGAACTAGAACAAAACATTTTAAGTTTATATGGAAACACAAAAGACCCTGAATAGCCAAAGCAATCTTGAGACAGAAAAACGGAGCTGGAGGAATCAGGCTCCCTGACTTCAGACTAAACTACGAAGCTACAGTAATCAAAACATGGTACTAGCACAAGGACAGAAATACAGATCAATGGAACAGGATATAAAGCCCAGAAATAAACCCACACACCTATGGTCAATTAATCTAAGACAAAGGAGGCAAGCATATACAATGGAGAAAAGACAGTCTCTTCAATAAGCAGTGCTGGGAAAACTGGACAGCTACATATAAAAGAATGAAATTAGAACATTTCCCAACACCATACACAAAACAAACTTAAAATAGATCAAAGACCTAAATGTAAGACAGGACACTATAGAACTCTTAGAGGAAAACATAGGCAGAACACCCTTTGACATAAGTTGTAGCAAAATCTTCTCATAGAGTCATGAAAATAAAAACAAAAATAAACAAATCAGACCTAATTCATCTTAAAAGTTTCTGTACAGCAAAGGAAACCATAAACAAGATGAAAAGATGACCCACAGAATGGGAGAAAATACTTGCAAATGAAGTGACTGACAAGGGCTTAATCTCCAAAATATACAAACAGCTCATGCAGCTCTATATTAAAAAACCAAACAACCCAATCAAAAAATGGGCAGAAAATCTAAATAGACATTTCTCCAAAGAAGACATACAGGTGACAAAAAACACATGAAGTGATACTCAACGTCACTAATTATTAGAGAAATGCAAATCAAAACTACAATGAAGTATCACTTCACACCAGTCAGAATGGCCATCATCAAAAAATCTACAAACAATAAATGCTGGAGAGGGTATGGAGAAAAGGGAACCCTCCTGAACTGTTGGTGGGAATGTAAATTGGTAGAGCCACTGTGGAGAACAATATGGAAGTTCCTCAAAAAAGTAAAAATAGAACTACCACATGATCCAGCAATCCCACTCTTGAGCATATATCTGGAGGAAACCACAATCTGAAAGGATACATGCACCCCAATGTTCATGGCAGCACTATTTACAATAGCCAGGACATGGAAGCAGCCTAAATGTCCATCAACAGAAAATGCATAAAGAAGATGTGGTAATATATACAATGAGATATTAGCCATGAAAAAGAATGAAATAATGGCATTTGCAGCAACATGGATGGACCTAGAGAGTATCACACAAAGTGAAGTAAGTCAGACAGAGAAAGACAAATATCATATATCACTCATATCTGGAATCTAATTTTTTTTTAATGATACAAGTGAACTTTTCTACAAAACAGAAACAGACTTACAGATATCGAGACCAAACTTATGGTTACCAAAGTGGAAATGTGGGGGGGGGGGTTAAATCAGGAGGTTGGGATTAACATACACACTACTATGGATAATATATATATATTACATATATATAAGATAGATAAGCAACAACGACCTACTGTATAACACAGGGAACTCTACTCAGTGTTCTCTGATAACCTATATGAGAAAAGAATCTGAAAAAGAATGAATATATGTATATGTATAACTGAATCCTTTTGTTGTACACCTAAACTAACACATTGTAAGTCAACTATACTCCAATAAATTTTTTAATTCAAAAAAATTATTAATTCAATCTCAAAAAAGGGAAAAATTATTAGTGCTATTCAATATCATCAAAATGAAAAAAATTACAATGACACCTTTATCCCAGTGTTAACATATCTGAAATATAACTAGTCAAATTTAATTGAATTTAAGTCATTTTTTCTTCTAGTACTATTTTTCTCTGAGAAAGTTATACAATTTATAATATACAAAACTAAACACAAATGGTGCATAAAAGGTCTTGACATCAGTCCCCAATTCATTCTGCTTAGAGAACAGATAATAACTCTTAACCATTGGGCTTAAGGGAATAGTTCTAAATATTCTAAATCCTCCTCTGTGTGTCTTACACTATATTCATTCCATATAGTTGATGGCTTGTGTCCTTATCCTTTTTCTGTTGAGTACTGCACTTTATACTTATCCATGTACTCAAAGTTCCACCTGTAATTATTGTTCTTATTTTTTCCTTTCTCTTCCTCCTTCTCCCCTTACTTTCCTCCAACTCACTTTATCACTCCACCCCAACCCTAGATAATCAATTCTTATAGCCTGATATACACTCTTCAATACTTTCCTCCATCTTCATAAAATTATACATAAACCTATAATACATATTTGCATATATGGGATTTGTCTTCATTTTATGTAAATAAATCATTTAAACTTCACTAGATCTCATTTTTCTCACTTAAAATTACATTGTGGAAGGTCTTATAAGTTGGTTGGTATAAATATAACTTGGTATCTTAACATCTGCATGATATTCCATTATATGAATGAACCACATTTTCTTCAACCATTCCCCTTTCTTTCTAGTTGTTGATGTTGGTCTTGGTTGTTTGTTTTAGTATTACAGTGTTACATATATCCTTACATAGTGGTGCTTTTATATCTATTGTAGATTTCCACAAGGACAAAATTACTTTCCCTAAAGGCCTGAACAATTCATATTACACCAGCAAAACTGGAAGTTACATTTCACCCACATTTCCATTAGCACAGCTTTTCTTATTTTTGTCACTATTTTGGGTGAAAAATGCTATATCAATTTTAATTAGCATTTCTCTGGTGGCATTCATAGGCATTTTCCCATAGGCATATTATCCCATTTTAGTCAGTTTCAATTTGTACTTAAATGAATCATCCATTTGTATGTTTTGCCATTTTTCTATCTAGCTATTTGTCTTCTTATGTATGACTGATATCTTTTTCTGTAATATACATTGTAAGTACAAACAGGCCTGATACACAAAGAAATTTGAGAAAGCGGGTAAATATTATGTACTCTTTGATTTTGTTTATGTATACTTTGCCATAGAAGCTTTTTGTTTTATATTGTCAAATATGTCCATCTTTTCTTTCAAAGCTTCTGGATTCACTTTTTTTTAAAATTATACTTCTGGATTTTATTCCCTGTTTTTAAAAAAATACATGAATGAGTATTTCAAGCACATAAATATTATTTTAGGCAAACTAGGGAAGAATTTACTTTGTCTTTAATATTTACCACAACCATCAAGACTATTATATTAGTTATTTTTCACTATAACACTGCCACAAAACTTACTGGCTTTAAAAAAATTATATTTTATTTGTTCCCCATTCTATTGGTTAGCATGTCGAGCTAGGATCACCTGGTCAGTTCTTCTACTGGTTTTGCCCATATCATCTGGCACTCAGTTGGGCCTGGAAGATTCAAGATGGCCTCAATCACACATCAGGAGGTTGATGCTGGTCTTAGTTTGTCCTCATTTTTCATGTGGTCTTTAACCATTAAGGATCTTCACATGGCAGCATTGCCGTCCAAGACAACTAGTATGGAAGCTGGATTCACTTTCTTCATTAGAAATATTTGCCCAATCCATACTTTACACTACAATTTCCTAAATTTTCTGCATAATTTCTTGTGTATTTTTTTAAACTTAAGTACTTATGCATCAGTGTTAATTATTGCATATCTTATAAGGTAGGAGTACAAATTTATTTACTTCCAGATGCACCAAGGCAATTTATTTAAACAAATCATTCTTTTCTACGGAAATGAAACCATTTCTTTTCATAGATTAAATTTCTATGTATGCACGGATTTATTTATGGGCTCCTTATTTTGTTCCACTAACTTGCCTATCCTCAATCCTAAAGCTAAACCACTCTATTATTCTTCTTTCATGATTTCTTCCTTGTACTGAAGCATTTATAAGTCCACATAGAATTTGTTATTATTTTATAGTTTTTTTTTTTAATTTGGAATTTCTTTGATTTCCATATGTAGCTTTGGTTATTGCTAGTAAAGAGAAACAGCACTGAACTCTGGGTATTTATCTACTACCCAGCTAATTTACAAAATTCCCTTATAAACACTAGGAGTTTATTTACTATAATACATGATGAAGGAAAATAATATTTTCTTTTTCTTTTCCATTACTTGTATCAAATATTTAATTTTCCTCTTTGTTCTGTTGCATTATAATTTATTTTCAAATAATAATGATAACAGTATTCTACTATTTTAATATAAATGGCTTCAGCATTTTACCACATAAAATTATTTCTGCTGTTGGTATTTGATGAATACTTTTTCTCAGATTTAATTATTTCCTTTCTTTTTCTATTATATGTCAATTTTTATAAGGAATAGGGATGCTGAATTTTATCAAATATATCTATTGACATGATCACATTTTCCCTTAAACTTGTTAAAATAATTAAATATGCTATTAGGTATCTTGATGTTGAGATTCTTATATTTCTAGAATAAATTTTCTTTGGACAGATTTTACTTTTCCTATACTGAAATGTCAAATATTTTAATATTTAATTTAGAACTTTGGCATCTATATTATTAAATAAGGTTAGTGCATAGTTTCCTTTTGGCACTATCTTTATCAGGTTAGAACACTAGGGTCTACTTGCTTCATGAATTGAGGTTCTTTCCATTCATAGTCTTGAATGGCTTAGATAACATTGTATTACCTGTCTTTTATAGGTTACATGAAGCTCAACTATGAAATGGTCTGGTGTTCACATCTTTTAAAGTGGCATATTTTTATTCCTCTTCCAATCAACTTATGAATATATAATAAACATGGATATATGAGAATCATTCAAATTTTACAAAATTTTATAGATATGGATTAGATTGACTTTATTAATTACATCACTCAGTTCCTTATTTTTTTTTATTTTTTCCTGATGGACATGTCTTATTTTGAGTGTCTTAAAAGTCTTCCACTACGATAGTACTTTTATTGTTTTCCAATCATTTAAAATATTTCCATTTCATGTATGCTATGTTGATGTTGCATACATGTTTATGACTGTTATGTCTCCTTTCTAAGTCATTCATTTTATCATGTCAGCACTTTTAATCCCAAATTTTAATTTGAGAAGACAGCAGAGTAGAAAGAACCTGACCTCACCTCCTCTCACAAACACATAAAAATCACAACTATTTGCAGAACAATCATTGATAAAAAAGATCTTTTCTACCAGAAAAGATCTTCTTTTCTGGAACCTACCAGAAAAGATCTTCTACAACTAAAGATGTAAAGAAGACAAGTAGGAGGGGCAGAGTTGTGATATAGTCAAGTCTCATACCCCTCGGTGGGCAACCCACAAAGTTAGCAGGAGTTCAGCAACTAACTTTCCTTC